AAAATAGACTTTTTTTACCCATATATTATTAAATTAGTTTTGTCATATGTTAAAATTTAGTGATACTTTTTTTCGCTCCACTTTTCTTAGCAATTGCCTCCAACGTCACTTTCAAAATATACAACTATGGTAAATCACGCCTTTTTTACATACAAACAATTTATGAATTTATCAGCATATCTATATTGAACTATTTCCATTACATTCAACCGTAACACAATTTATATAATGTTATCATGGAATTATTTTGCAAAACCTTTGTCGCATTAATCCCGGCGGAGGGACTGGATGGAAAAGCGGATCAATTTAGCTGTAGTTTAATAGTAATATTTGATAATACACCTTCAATCACGGTCAATATATGCTGGCATATAAACAAAAGAAGAAAACAACTCAGAAATAGTATAAAATAAATAATACTCACCTGTACATCACCACTATAATGACTGCCAATACGACTAAACATACAGCAAAGATGGAAGCAACTACGTACATTGGATTAACAGGCTCTATACCAGTGGATATAACGGTTACATTAACGGTTACATTAATTATAAATACAAGACAGAGTGGAGTAATAACATTCACGCCATTTCAGAAGTTTCGACAAGGTTTACTATACACCTTCTAGGGTTATATGTAAAATTTATCAACCTATTAATCATTATTGCTATTTCCAGGCCTCTGTCGCAATTGTAAATGGCAATTGCGTGTACCTCCGGTTATTTTTATATAAAATTCAATGAGTGTGAATTATATTGCCTCAACCCCACATTAATGTGATGTACTAATTATAGACATGTGGAAATGTGGATTTATTCGATGTTCTACCTAACAGTATGCAACTAATGTGATAGATGAATGATTAAATTGCTCAAACCTTCTTCTGGGCAGTATTCGCCATGAAATCCACATTCAGGTTCATCTTCCGGGGGACCAGTGGCGCCACCAGGCCAATGAATGGGCCGACCTTCCACCTCTTCATAAACCTTTCTATTTCCAAAGTAATTACCCACAACCTGAAAGATTTAATTAAAGAAACGTAATCGCTTATTATTGTCTGCGCCAAGTTATTAATATACAGTGATTTTTGCTCTATGTTGCATTGAAATTTATCAGTGGTGTTGAAATATATTATCATATATATTAACATATATGATTGTTTCCTTCACTTCGATACATTTCATGATGTTCTTTATTATTTTATTGTTGCTTTTATAGTCGTCTATATCCAGACATTTGACTGGATGTCTGTTGGCAATTAAAATTAACGCCCCTCTGTTTATGGGAATTTACATGATTTGTTAATTCCCATAATGTTTACTTCAGCATAATTACAAATCAATTGTCATTGCAATAAACTACGGTTTTTAGCGAAAATTCAAAAGAGCAACGAATCATGTTTGGACACGATCGTGCGATGTAGCGAAAATAAGGCACGTAGGGATGTACAATACTTTGTGCCAAAATGTCACATTTGATTCAGAAACAAAAATGATGGAAACGTATAACGCGTAGTGACATCATGAGTTTACACATATATTAAAATACGAATACTAATATTCGGCTTTAGTTAAAATGCGTTCTCATTCATTGTTAGATAACATGTTATCAAATAATACGCAGTCTTTTTTTCTATTCTGCGAGTACGTTAACGTCTTGCCCATGATATCTCCATCCTTGTCATACTTTCACGTAATCATGTGAGTGCATATCACTTTATTTTATAAATATAACCTCACGGATAGCACTACTTGGTTTCACCACAATCGTTCTATAGAAATGTTGGCATATGGTGGACGCGATCACCGTAATTTGGTTAGTTATAACTGAGAATTACACGTGTTGTTTCGTCAGTGAAACTAATCTTTTCGACTCTCTACATGGCAGAAATACAATCAATGAGCCGTACACGCTTAAAGAGGCAATATGGTTTATCTCTGTTTTTTATGTTACACACTGATATGGCTGCTGGATTATGATTCATCGCAAGCTCCAAACGGCGTTTTTCATCAAGCATCAAATACTATTCTATTAACGAAATAATAACAAACACACTTGTTTAGAAATATTTTACAGCGAAAAAAATTGATAATAATGCTGGGATATTCTCACAAAATAGCATGACACAATCTACAGATGGAAATTGAAAAAAGTGGATATATTTTGTTTTTAACAATAGTATTGAAATTTAAATTTCAGCAGTGAGATTATGAAAATTATTATTTCAAATACTTCAATCTTTGACCGATAAAATAAGATAACGCAATTACCTCAAATTTGCCATTCTCTATATCTGTCATGTCATACATCATGAAATCGGCATCGCGATCGCCGCTCATATCGATGGTTACATTGCCTTGGATACCTGGAAATCAGATTATAAAAAAAGCGTTAAAATTATTATTTTTGTATGTCATGCAAAGGACACAAAGCAACGACACATACATGGTTCTGCAGAATCTAAATTGGAGCGTGTAAAATGAGATGAACAAAGCGGCATTTCATCAGACAATATGAAGGCGCAGACGCTACGCCGCCTTATTTTTAATGGATTATGTTCAAATCAAAACGATCTTGCACTCCTTTTGAAGAGATTTAGTTCGCCGCGTCTGAACACTCACATGCCTATTGCATCACATATTGTCCAATAATCGGCTATAATCCACCGGATTACCCATAATCCATCAGATATTATTTATATGTGGTGTTTGACTACATATATTAAATCAAGGAGCCGACCAACTGTTTACATGACAGCTTAGCTATCCGAAACACTTAACAAACCTATATCAATATCGATGATTTATCATGACACGTTCCATCAAATAATTGATGTTGCCATGGTGCAGCTACACAGATCGTGCAAACTTCGTGGTTAAATATAATCAAAATAATTACATTTTAATAAAACTGAATTGCCAAGTCGATTTCATGGATAAGAGTGAAGATGTCGATGTCGCACGTCGATGGAAAAATTATTTAATCCAATATTTCAACAATAACGGGCAAGTAAACAACATTGCCTTACAATTGTGTATCATTATAACATTGGGCTGTTTTATAATATTTAGAACCACGATATTTCACTGTGACAAACTAACATAGCATCAATGTTCACATATATACAGAAGCGTAACAAGTAAACATATAAATTCAGTAGTTGTAAAAATTAATTGGATTAACTTGAAGAAAACATGTAACCCGCTATTCACACAATTTGCATTATACTTTGTCGTAGACAGGAATTACATGTCCGTGTTTTCTAAGGTCTAGGATTTGATGTACCGTAATAGTCTAAGTCAATATCAATGTATATATTAAGTACGATTCTGACTCTCGCCGAGAATACTTAATTTAAGAACAGAACCACTCGACTTCTATATATAGGAAAATTCGAGGCTAACAACATAATACTTCCAAATATTGTCAGAAATTGAGAAAATTATGTTATCTATAACTTCAAAAGTTGAATTGGCTGGAAGATTAGAACATACACCATGTACCAGTTCCAAACATGCATATAAAATAATTGTCATGGCAACAGAACTGAAAATATTCATTTTTGTGTTTTTCTACCAAATGCTTAATTTTCTCATGTTGTATACAATTTATCGATGTGAGTAGATTACATTGGTGGTATATAACCTGTTGACCACAAAACTGGGACACACAAGTTTCATTCTATTTGTGCGACTAAAATAATGATTTTGTTCACGTTTTTGACAATATTTTCACTTTTTGTGTATTAGTAACATTCTAATTTCCATTACTATAATTATATACATGAGTAATATGCACAACAAAAATGTGCAAAAAAATACATCAGTATTTCTCACGTTATTGATGAATACATTTTCTCAATTTTTCACAACTGTGGATATGCGTCACCCTTTTCCCCACACTCCTTTTCTGGAGAATCAATATGGCGGACTACATAATACTGATGAAAAGTTGAATATCTAGAGTATAAAAGTGATATAAAAACTGTTAATTGCATTCTCCTACATTTAGGAAGTTCTTCTTTTAAGGAGCATTATGTTGCTTGCCTTGACTTCCCCTTTAACATTCAGACGACTTTTGGTTACGCGAGCGAGTGTTCTACTAATACTCCGGACCCGTAAAGCTATAATATATATGCTAATTGTAAAGTGGCCACACTTGAATGCATATGCAATGTAAATCGCGTCACATACATGGGTCAGAGGACGTTTCAGTATAGAGGGGTAACCCTATATAACAACTTACCATTCCATGTCAGAAATTCAACCTCATTAGGCATTTTTAAGAAAACTTACAAAATTTATCTTAGTGAAAAATTTGTTGTAAATGGCTGAAGCTTATAGTGTGTATAGTGTGTGTTTTGTCCCTACAGAGGGCCCAATGAAAATTACTTTATTGTAAATTGGCCTACCCTCTTTAAATAAAGTGTTAAATAAATAAATTGAATTAATCATGACTAAATGGCAGAGCGTACAACATACATTTTGTATTTATGCAAATCAATGCACAGTACACTGGGCTAGGCAACTACGTGCTGATTGTTTCAATATTATTTACTCGATTCTGAACAGAATTGTGCTTTTATATCTGTAAATCAGTACTTCTGATGTTTCTAATACTCTCCTGCTGGATTTGTATGAATTTAAGTCGAATTCTATCGCCACTATAAAGCAATTACATATCAGGTGAATGACCTACCTTAAAAAGTCATGATTGGACAAATGTTTCGTAATGGGCAACTGAAACGCAGCCACCTGTACCCATTAGAAAGTTGCTATAGTGATTACGTATACAATTATGCCTAATCAATCATCTCCGTGTAAAATAGAAAAGCACTTTATTCATTTAGTTTTCAGACCGAATTGTCACTTTGTGTTTAGCACCGACCAATGAGGTTCACTGAAACACAAATGGCGACCCAAGTTTTATAATTAATTTAATTGTCCGACGACGACCATGTTAAATAAGTCACGCCATACGTAGGTATATCACATAACAGTGTATACACACACATGGGTCATAGCTTTATTTGATACCTGTAATATGCACTGTTGAACCTTAGCATTTACTTTCAATGGATGTGATGCCAAGACGTATGCCTGACAAGCTAGTTGTCTATAAAAATCAAATTATTTGCAAAAGTACTCAACTATCCACCGATGATACATATACCTCGTTTTAATATATGTTTTTAGTCGTTCGTTTTGTGTTTATAGGAATATAAATTAATATATTGATTTGCGTATGGTGTTGTAATTTAATTTAATACATGGTTCAAAGTGGTTCACGGTCATTGCTAATTATATAGTGCATTAAGAAAATTAGGTTCAAGTTACGGCCAATACACAGCGGTGTTAGTGAATAATTGTTCAATTTATAAAACCGAGTGATTCTCACATATGAATTACGAAACGACGCAGCGTAAACGATATGTATGCCTTTTACGATTTGATAACAGTGTGATATACTACCTTTGAAGGTTCTTCCGTAAAGTCGCGAGACAAGCTCTGTCCCGTTATACGGGTCACCACCCTCCGACAACGTCTCATTAAGTGCTATAGCGTATAGTATTACAGTGTCGTGAGCAACTGCTGTAAGAACTGAAACCTACAAGGAAATACAACACGATTTAATAAAGATACTCCACAACTTAAAACAACAACCTCGACATTCTCCTGGGTAAAGAACGTTGAAAACTAATGGAGTTTTATCTTAGTATGATCAGACCAGAAGTCAGCAAACGTTGTCTAAGATTATACTGCGAATAACAGAGCCGTGTTTGGTATGCCTACGACGTTTCGTGGAATAATTGGATCACTATTCTATTCATAGTTATCTTGGTTTAGATAATATAAATGCGTGAGATGCCCTTGGGGTAATATAGTTCGTTCGCGAAGCCGTCTTGTAACGTGTTAATAGTCGACAGATCTACATTTTTTATACTTATATATTTATTAACATTGCTGAGTGATCTAGCTCCATTTTCTGCTTTAATCGTAGAACCTATGTAATCAACCCACCTGTTACTTTAATATAATCACCCAAACACATAAAGGGGTGCAATTGACGATTAAAAAATCGAAAAATGAAAGTATGTTAAATTATTAAAATTTCACCGGCGATTTGGGACCTTATATGTAAAATAGAAAGCAAACTATTTGTTTTTGTTATCATGCATGTGTTCATGTTTGTTTCGGTATTTCGTAATACAAATGTTCATATATAGTATATAATGATCGTGACATCGAACATGTTATCTATTATGAAAGTCCGCTCTTCAATGAACACATATGGCATGAAAGTAATGACCATGCTCATCCAATGTTTGAATATGTAACGTACATCATACAAATTATGTAACGTACTTTTCTAAATTACTTTTTTAGAGTTTGTTTGTGCCAGACGACAGTTCCGGACATTAAATGTCACTGTTGTCTCTACTGACCTTTTTTGTATGTGCAAATTGCAAGTGCTCGTACTGACACCTCGTGCATTTTACCACAGAAGTCATATTCATGTTTGGGACTACATGACAGGACTGTGGACATCTCTCTATCAAATGGCAATTCTAATGCGCTATCCTGGCGTCAACCAGGCTCGGTCGAATACAAGCACCTGCGGCTCTTAATCAGTGTTCCCCAAAGTGGCATTCGTTAGTGAATGAATCTTGGCCAGTGGAATAGGCCTTCCCATTGAGTAAATTTTCAATAGTTAAGGCCAATAATAGATTTGGATTTTAGGAAAAAATAAATAGGCATGTCGACTATGCTAACAAATAATGTGAAGCGAAGATAGCAGATGAATATTCATAATATATGCATTAAAGACGCATTAATTCTGCGCAATGTATACTGGGTAATGATTAACTCATATCGTAACGTACAAGTGTAGAGGAATGTTATTATCTAAACAGTGGTGTGCGTAAGATCGATACTCCAGGCTCCCTTTGGACTAGTACTCTCAGATTCAATAGTTTCTAGTACATGATCTGAATCTTACTATTGGACTAAATCTCCTAACAAACGCGTCTATGTTATTGGGGGTTTTTTTCAAACGTGTTCCAATCTGTCAAGTGTTTTCGACTGGCAAGACACGCCGGAATAAGGGATTTAGAATTTGCTTAACTTATTTGCTTTGTTTGTTTACAAAACAAACAATACCTCACCGTTAGCTCACTGTCAGTGTGATATATCTATGCACAGAAAATAATAATTACTTAAGACAGAATAAATGTAACTTTAGAGTCCTGCTCATCATTCAATGTAATAAGTTGAGTTGAAGTAGTATGTATAATCAATAGTTGTGAAATCAATTCATAGTTGATTGTAAAACAAGTTCTTAGACGTTCGTTCAATCGATGAACCTTGAATGGAACATTACGTTGCTGAAATGCACGTTATCTCGAGTAACATACAATCAAGGACATCTTTCAAAGAGATTCATTACATATAACGGTTATGCCGACTTCGAGTTCGAATCTCGCGTTTCGAATTTATATGTTCGTAAATGTACCTGTAATTTTGAAAATGTATGTAAATGTACATTCATGAATACATAGAAAATGCAGAAAATAATCAGATTGATATTAAGGATAACCCTCTTAAATGATAAAGCGATTCACAGATGATACATTTTTGGTTTAAAGGAATTTAAATCCTTTTTTTTAAATATTAAAAGCACTAACATCAATGTGATAGAATAGAACGGATATTGTATATAACATCCAATGATTCACATGTTATTGTCCCGACCCCAACTGAGAACTATATATATATATATTATGTCGTATAATTACTCTGTATAGTATGTGCGTGACTGATTTATGAATAATATACGTTCCAAATTCGTATACTAATGAATTTCTGAAATCAGAGTATAATTGAATGTATTATCGTGTTTGTTACTCGTTACACTCCCGACGATCTCATTGCTTCCGACGTCTGGTATGTTTCCCACAGTCTGTGTGTATTTATGTATATTTTACGTAATCGAGAATTTAACAAAGAAGTGCATAAATTTATTTGATTTATGTTGGAGATTCATGCAATGCATTCTGTTGTTTTCGTTACCAGCACTGTTTCCACAGATCAACAACAATGACAAATTAATGACAAATTCTAAGGCGACCGTTTCCATTACGACCGAAGATTGAAAAGGATGTGACAATTGCTGCATGATTATTCTACACAGCACTGGTAACATAACTATCTGTGCATCACTTTCTTGATGTGTACCGTCAAGTTGATCGTAATGGATTGAAAGCTGAGGCCAGGATCTTAATTGTAAATGCTCTAAATAGAAAGCTTGCAAATGGCCATTATCTGTCGCTTTTGATGTTATTGAGCGCTGTGGTAGGTTAAAAGTTTAAGTGTGTTGACGTAAATTTTCAGAATTTGATGCTGACAACTATATTAGTGTAATATCTTACATAAAGATTAATTATATATACATTTACTTTACCTCTTCGTCTGGTCCATATTCGTAACCAAATTCAGCCTTTGAACGTAGCTTCACTTCATCGGCAAATTTATTAAATTCATTGTTTGCTGGCTTGTAGAAAGACAATTTAAACAAAGCTTCATATGCTTTCTTGGCGTCCTCATTTCGACCATCTTGACTAATCCACGAGAAATCGCCAAAGGTATCCTTCTGTTTGAAGAACTCGATGCAGAAGAAAGCATAACTACCATTGATAAGACCAAGATCATATGCGTTCAGCATCAAATTTCGAACCGTTTCACCCTTGGCGGCTATTATAATGACTACAAAGGTAAATACAGTTTATTGTCATTAAATTGTATTGCCAAATAATGATACTAATGAAGTATCAAGTAATTAAAAACAGTCTCACGAAATGGAAGTAAATAATGGTAACGTTTTCGAAGAATATTCTCGTTACTTTTCACGGGTAATCAGCACACGCTTGAGACAAGATGGGAAAGGTTGAAAATGTGCATTTTCAGGGAATTTGATTAAAAGGCCATCACGTAGTTTATGACATTGAATGACAGATAAACAGAAAAGCTCGCAAGATGTAGATAGATGTCAAATGTCAAAACACACATGCAAATTTATTGAGAAGAACGATAGAATATGGTGAAATGATGCACACAGTGGTATTATTTTTGTAAGAGGGTCAAATGAATGTCAGTAGCACATCAGAGCATAAACTAAATAGGTCTTCACAAATCCGTGTTTGTTTGTAATAGACAAGACAATTGTTTGTTTGTTTGTTTGTTTGTCGTCCAATTCTGAAGTGAAATATACATTCACTGAAACATATAATGCTTCAATATAATGCCACCAACACATTTATAGAGACAAAATTTATACATAAAAACAAAACCTTACATCCCGCATATATTCACGGGGTTACATCATTATTAATACAGTGCTAGGAAACATGATGTGCTGCTACTATCAACCTTTTGAACTTTGACCCATTCAACACTAAAGGTCTCTCACCTTACACACCATATAGCAGACACACGTTGATGCATATCTATCAGAAAATGTAATCAAGATATACAGCCAGTTGGGAAATATGTCCATCTTGCTCACTACACAAATGATAAAAAAATAATAAAAAAAGGCAACCTAGTACTCATTTCATTAAGCCAACTCAAACGAATATGTTTTACATACCTACTATTGAATACGATAATTAATAAAATCAGAAAACATTTCACAACTCGCTACTACAACCTTGGAATGTTTCCGCTCACATCAATAAAGTAGGCACCATGAATCAGAGAGAGATAGTCAACACAACACGAACACAAGCTTCACATAAAGAACGCGTACCGTTATTAAATACGTTCCTAATTTCCATAAAGTACTATCAACTATTAACAACACTGGCACAGAATTGAATTCAACGCAGACACAGAAGAGTCTTCCAGAGCAGGGTCTAGACGTCAAGAAAATAGCTAGACCACTGGGAGCCAACCATACCAACAAATGAACTTGACGTTGCGAGACTTGGGGTAAATGCAAACATTTTCAATTCATGTATTTGAATTACCAATCACATAACTAAATCATCCTATAGACAAATAATCTGTACACAATTTTATATTATAATTTGCACCAAATGCAACCAACCAACCAACCAACTATATGTGGGGGAACTGGACGAGTACCAAGACGACGAAACCAACAATAGTTGCGCAACATTTTAACAAACAATTTCATAATATTAAAGACTTCAAATTTGCTGGTTTAATTAATTTCTTGTTCATAGAAAGACAGTATGAGAAATAAATAATGCAAACAATTTCCCCTAACAGCAGTAACAAAAATGATATGTTAGGGCCTTTTCCGGATTAACTGGAGACTGTCCCCGCTGCATCTATTTTAATGCCACCCATAGTGGACCATTCTCATTTTTTCCCTGGCATTTCACGTAATATAATAAATTTACCTACCTTTCTATTGTGCAATTTATTTATTCATTTTATTAGCAACTATACTTGCAAATGCATTTGATTTAATATACAGCGAGTGTATGTACATCTACTCGATTTAGTCTGTCGGATGGTTTTTCTCTTTTGTTATATTATTCGTTTGTTTCATTAATGTACTCCCTGTAAAATACCCCTGTATTGGTTTGCGATGCTACACATTTGCAAGGTATGACGTAAAACAAGGGTGCCGCTTCGCACTTATGTTTTTTTATTTATTTTATTAAATTTTGTTGGTATCATGCGCAATGATGTAAGCACTTGTTCATCACAATCTTCAAACGAATTACCAATCATAAGCTATTACATTAGGTGTTACATTACGGGGTGATGCGGCTATTTATCAGGAGTTTTAGAACACACAATATTGTAGAAATTACTGCGCACATCACATGATTACCCGCGATAGAGAAAGACGTGACCATCAATAATACGAGCGGAAACATGCTGAAATAGCGACTAATCGTGCGAAGCATACCACAATACATCAGTGATTCCTTTACATTCACACACAGAGACGACGGCGTTATACGAAACAAAACAATATTGTGTCGCGAAAAAAAACGTCAGTCAGAACCGCTGTAGTTTAATCGGAAATACGCGATACTGATTGAAGCATATATTCATATATTTCTGAAGAGCTTTTTGCTATTGTTGAAGACACGCACACTTAGGGTAAATTCAGCATATGCTGTAGCTTTCTCCAAACTCTATTGTACAGTTTTACTTTGACGTTTGGTAAATCGTGTTAAACATTTTTCGTGTGTACAGTCTATTGCCATGAACACTTTCCCAAGTTACCATGTGTAGTTACAGAAAATTACCTTTGTTCATTTCTTTTACACCACGACTGACGCCGACGTGATCGTATTTTTTCAATCATATTTAATATACTGCGTTTTGCGTTTTATTGTACCCTCATTTCAGAGTTTCAATTACATTTGAGTAAGTGCTCTCGATTGCAATGGAAAGTGGCTAAGCGCTGTAATAATTGTCATTATTAACCTTTCTGGCATATGACAGTTCGTAACATTAAGTAGAATAGCCATGCTTCTCAAATTCGAAATCATATAGCAACGAGTGTATGCGTCACTCAATTATAATAGAAGTTTTTCGCTAGTCTGTCATTGTAAGGTTGATTTTTTTATGATCGCTCAGACCTTTGACAGCACGTCAATTGCTATTGTTGTAAGAATGCTCGAGATATACTCTCGTGTTCGTTGTTCATTCACATGACACAAATGTGAATGAACTACGAGGTTTTAGTTTCATATACAAGACATAAGTAGAGGTCATTCTATTTGTAATATTTTATTTCAGCAAAGTACACGTACATTGCGCCTTGCATCGAATTCTTAATGCCGTGGCATGTGGATAAAACGGTACGTGTAAAACTCGAATTCAAACATATCCCATTAGAATAAAACAAATATCACTCAACAGGAATTTCAGACAAATTTCCATTATTTTCAAATCAGCAATATTTTCAATATACACAAACAGTATACACAATATATTAGATGCAATGCACGTGATATTCGATTGAGAATAATCATAACTCTTAAAAGACAAGTTTGAAGAAGGCTTTTGAGAAGAGGAGATCAATCCACCTCAAAGTGTTATCAATGTCCATAATCGGAACCGGAGACATGTGAATTATACTTCGATTGCAAGTAGTCATAGGTCAAATGCTATGTAGCTATGACGTAACACGTACTGTTTGACATTCTGAACGATTCCATTTGACAAAGCCAAGTTAAATTAAATAATCACAAGCATAATGACTAGAGGGGAAATGTTGCTTCCCCCTTGTATGAATATATCACATATATCTAGCCATGGTACCATGAAAAGAATTTATGTAGAGAAAAAAAATACTTTCTCCTTTTATATAATACAAGATTAGGTCTCTCCGATATTTGGACCTCGGCTCTGTAATTTCATTTCTTTTATTCTGTTCTTTTCGCGTAATGTTATTGACATTTTAACAATGGCCCGTAGCCACGACTATATATCAAACCTAGATGCGCGGTAATTAGAACATACCTTTACCGAAGGTGATTTAAAACGTTATAAGCGCAATATTAAATTTTAGGAATACATTTTATATTATAAATTATATTTTCCTTTCCAAAACATGTGTATGGATAATTCTCTGTTGAACAGCAAACCACTGGCTTCGCAGTATTTGTTTGCACTGGAAATTCTCACTGTTCAAACACTCGATATAGACACTATCTGGACACATATAGACACTAACTGGACACATTTCACTAAAATAATTCAGGATATGACATTAGTACGTTTCAGTAAAAATGTAACTGTTAATAGAGATTGTTCTATGTTAGGAGACACAAGTATCCTATACAAAGTCAAAAAGTAATATCGCTTTTACCTTATTCGAAATCATTCCTTTGTAATTGTCTTATCGAATCAGATTGAGAATTGAGATATCACAATTTGCTATTTGCCGACTTCGTGCAAAAAAGAAGTTTTTTGATGTGATGTTTTGAAATGAACAATATAGTTATATAGAACAATATTTTCGCGCAATTGTTCAATATTAAGTGTTGTGGAAATTTATATATAACTACGTTGCGGCATTTATTTATTTCATACTGTGATATCGCAAGAAAAGTAGAAAAATAGAATCTAGTACATGAAATTTTAATTATATTAAACATACAGTAAATGCTCTTTAGACAAATTCACATAGATTTGATCAGACATTCTTCATATTATAACAGATGAGTGTCGACCGAGGGTGTCGACAGTTATCAACTAGATAAACGATCACATTTGTCACATCATGTTTAAAGGCTCGAATGATTTGCTCATCATAATTTGACAAAATCCCCAAGCCTTTTAAAAATAAATTCACTCTAATAAGTACTTCTATGTATTTAACATATTTTTTACATTCTCTATACTTATTTCTCATTTTTAAAAATGTATATTGATAGAAAATGAAATTTATTCTTATACACCTTTATTTTACCCATAATTTAAAACTCAAATTGTAAAACACTATAAAACATTAATATAACCTGTTATAGTTTGCTTCTTATCACATCAATTGTGTGTTTTAGACCAAACATAATGTTACGTAACACCGGAATGAGTCAGTTAG